CTTTACATACCTTTCAGGTTAACCTAGTTAGCATATTGTACTTTTTTAGAAAGTGAAAAGACTTTCGTGAACATAAGTTATTCGGTAATGTTTTATTATACCAAACACTAAATGTAAAATACTTTGTTATTGAAGTAGATTTCTTCGAAATTCATTCGTTACATTATATTATGCAAGAAAATAATAATTCAAAAATCACAAAATGAGATACAAATACCTGGCATTTGCTTTTCTGTGTATTTAATTAATACAGAGCAAGCAAATGCCACTTTAATAACTGATTTTTCATATCTCTTTATTGTAAAACGTGGGTTAAACAATGATGTCGAAAGACACAAAAAGAACAACACTTATTGGAGTGCAATCAGAATTTAAACATTTGTCAGCCTTATGAACTGCAAGACTCATTCCAAAACAACACTGGGTTGGACGTTTTTGTACTATCCGCTTTATAAAATTTGAAAAAGTACAAATTTCTGCCTGTCTAACTTTTGATGAGAACAGTTAAAAGAACAAAATTTTCTCTGTTCCTTAATCGTATCTAGTGATCGGAACGACTATTAAAAGGAATGAACACCAATGGTTTATTTTTAATTGTTGTAATTTTATCGAGAGGGACATTAATCTCTTCTTTTATTTTTGTCCTCTTTTTTGACAAGATTTCAATGATAGAGTTTTTTTAAACCTTGGAAAATATTTAAATCATTAAGGAAGATCAAGAGGGAATTCATCTTTTCTTTTCGGCCTAGATTACTACAAACGCAATAAGGATTTCTTCTTTCAATTAAGCCTATTTCAAGAAAATGATACCGTGGAAATAATTAGTTGAGTTAACTGGAGAAGAGATGACACAAGTGACCACCAGAGTTTTCGAACCAACTTAGATCGGTTAACGAGGACTCGAAGAATTCCACAGATTAAGAGCACGCGGAAAATAAGCTCAAAATAATAACGCCTGCAAAATAAAACATATATATAAAAAGTTATAGCTCTATTTATTTACGAGCTTACCATGCATGATACACTCATTATAAACATTGAAAAAATAAAAATTGTATTTTTCTATAATTCATTCTAATGCTGGAATCAAAACTGAATATATCTAATATAAGTTTTGAGAATACTGATAACAGTATATTACAGGTATTAGTGTAGTGTTCACACTCAATATACCAGAAACATTTGTTAGTATGTAACTTGATATAGCTTATAAACGCTCTTGTCCAAAAAAAAAATTTGATAGAAATTATTTGGCGTTTGTGGAAAATAAAAATATCCTTATCAAATAAGCTATCGACTATTTTACAAAATCATATATTATTTTCGGAAAATTTGAACTTACATGACATTGAATTAAATTAAAAATCATATTATACACTTACAGCTCCCCTCCTGGGATATCGATCAGCCCGGGAAACTATAATTAATCTTCTGATGTGGGTTATTTGATATTTTGAAACAAACACGTCTTATGATTAAATATGTGAACACCACAAATTACCAATTGAGTTTCTTTACCAGTCATTCTGGGAAACAATAATGAAGCACATTACTGCTCATGTAAACCTATAATATAACTTAGTATGATATTATGTTTAGTTTTTGAAACTAAAGCCAACCTTTTAAGCTTTATCCGAGCTGTTGGAAGAGTTGAATCGTCCTCTTTCATTACAAACCTTCTGACACCCAGAACGTAGTTTTTCATATAGTCATGTAGGTGAATTTGAGATATGTTAAGGTCAAATATCTAGGGAAATATGAAATTTAAGAATCATTAAAAACGCACAAAAACACGTGAACTTGGCGCTTTTCTGTTTTATTATTATTAGAAACAGATATATAGTTAAGTGTTACTAGAAATCATTTAATTATACTTCACAGCTTCTTGGTTTCCTTAGAAAACACACTTAGATGCCAATAAACTGTAATATAAATGTAATCTTATCTGACACAACAAATAACGTCACTCAGTTAACGAACCTATAGGCGGCTTTACAAATGCAAAACTTGCAAAGATCACTAAATGCAAGAGAGCTACAACCTAAAATAACATATCAGAACTTAGCTTGACTTACATTTTATATATATATATATGAATGATATTAATGGCTGGATATTTTGGATTAATGCTGCTTTAGTAACCTTTGGATTACTTACACCTTGGTGGTCAAATGTGGTAACATTTAGAGCTAGTTTTTAAAACAAGATCGCTGATAAAGAATATAAGTTGCCTGCATAACAGTTTGTTAAGTTAGATTTTTTTTCGATTACACGTACACACACAAACAAATACAATTACCTATTGGTAGATTGACATTTTTTAAAGTTTTGATAAAATAAGACAATGAACTCAAAGCGTATCACAAATTCAGAAAGTCAGGCAGTACTATAAAATAAATTCAAAAGGCATCAGTGCATATACATCAACAGTTAAATTTTATAACAATCTGCGGGTCGCGGGTACGCATCCCCATCCCACCAAACATGCGCGCCCTTTAGCCGTGGGGGCGTTATAATGTGACGGTCAATCCCACTATTCGTTGGTAAAAGAGTAGCCCAAGAGTTGGCGGTGGGTGGTGATGACTAGCTGCCTTCCCTCTAGTCTTACACTGCTAAATTAGGGACGGCTAGCGCAGATAGCCCTCGTGTAGCTTTGCGCGAAATTCAAAACAAACAAACAAACAAATTTTATAATGCAATATTTCAGCTAGCCGTTTTTAAAAAGTTTCACTTTCACGGATGATATATTTCTATCCTTCTCTGTTTTTTTTAAATAAGGTATATTTAGAAACAAATTATTATACTCTATAGCTATCATAACTGGTAAACTGATAATTAAATATATAAATATGATAAAATTTGTGATGTTACCGCCTGACGTCATTTTATGAGTCACGATTAATTTTTAAAGCAGTTGAATATTCGTATCAACTATATGCATGATGACCCCCACTGGCACAGCGGTATGTCTGCGGACTTACAACGCTAAAAACCAGGTTTCGATACCCGTGGTGGCCAGAGCACAGATAGCCCATTGTGTAGCTTTGTGCTTAACTACAAACAATATGCATGATAGTTTCGTTCTCTTTAACTCACAAAAGCGAACCCATTATTTACATAAAACTTGAACAATGTGCAGTTTTGACGTCACTAATTTATTCTGCTGAATTCTTCAGCAGCCAAGTTGTTTAAAACACTAAAAATAAGTATGCCTAGGGTTACTCATAAGGGATGGAAGTTTCTAGAACCGGTATATATATATAACTCGGTGGCAAGTGGGAATCGGATAATAAATTAGCTTTCCTATTTGTTTTGAGTATCTATACCAGTGCTTAGGCTCTATTCCTAACTGATAGTGAAACAAATACACTGTCATTACTCACTTTTCTATCCTTGCCCTCCAATTTGTCCATAAGCATGAGCACGTTATTGGCGCGGAAATTCCACTCGTGTGTGGTGAAATATTCTAAAATATGAACAGCACGATGAATTCTGTTGTACACCTGGACTAACCTGGATAAAAAAGAGAAGAGCCGTCTGGTTGTTGTATCAGTATCGAACAATATCTAGAACTATTCGATTTTTAGTGAGTTGTGTGTTGATGTTTAATGAAAAGAAACCCCATTTCTGTTATCATAATAAATTAATACATTTCCAACAGTTTCCACTTTAGCTATTTACATATTTTATTGCCCTCAGTGGTAAAGCGGTATGTCTGCGGAGTTACAACGCTAGAAACTGGGTTTCGATACCCGTGGTGGGAAGAGCACAGATAGCCCATTGTGTAGCTTTGTGCTTAACTTTAAAGAAATGAACAAACAAAACATATTTTATCTAAATATAATCACATAATTTTGTTAATGGCTATTACTAAGATGGCTCAGCGATGAGTCTGAAAGATTATGATGCCAAAAATAGGGTTTCGATATCGCGGTGATTACAGAACAGATAGCCCATTGTGTAGCTGCTTTTCGTTGTTGGACAAATTTTAAACTTACTCCGATACAGTGAAAGGTGATTTTCATGCAGTTTTTAGTTCTAATGAACATTCTTACTTAGACAGATTTTTCGTTTCACATCAGTTTCACTTTCTAAACTTTTGTTAGTCGCATTTGTACATTATATAGATTTATGCAAAAACAAAACATTTTAGTGTTTTTATCTATATATTTTCCCCGTTTCAGAATTGATTGAACATTTTATCCAGTTCCTAGCGAAACAATATATAAAGGCCATAGTCACTTAGGGTTAAATTGTGAAACGAATAAATAATTATTAGAAGTTTGTAGTCACAAGAACTTAGGGTTGGGAGTTGTATAAGCAACTGAGTACACTATCCAACTAAAAAAGTAGACTTTTATACACCACCAATAAGCAACATATGTTTTGTATATATAAAAAAGTATCTCATATATTGAAGTCTTCTGATGTATGAACTGGTATCTAAAAAATTATTATCGTTCTCATGGTTAATGGCTTATACAATCATTGGAGCCTAATTATTGACAAGATACCATCGTTTTATGTTTATACAAGGTTCGAGAACTTAGCAGGAAAATAGCAATATATAATAAACAGAAATTTATATGTTACGGAAATAAAAATGTCAGTCTTAGCTGAGGGGAGACGTATTTGTAACAAGTGTCATTAGATGGAACTATGAGTTAGACAGAGAGCGAAAATGTTGAAGTAAAAGTTAGAATCGTGATAAAAAATAAATGACTCACCCAGCCTTATAACCAAGAATTCTCGCGAGGAAATCAACTGTTCTTGCTGGAATTTCGTGATCTATGATTTCACAGAGGCTGTTGATGAGGCGATTAGTCTTAAAGCTGCCACCAGGGTACCGGAAAATCTCCATGCTGGGGTATGTCAAGATGAAAGGATAAGCAAGTTTTTCTATTTCACCCCAAGTGATTCTTTTGATGGGACCTGACGTACAGTTGTATACCATCATATTTTGTGGTCTACACAATGGAAAACACAAGGATACATTGTTCAAGGAATATGATCAAATTAACACGGATCCGCAAAACTATTTATGGAAAATTAATTATTTTAAATGATTTTACACAATGAATCATAATTAATAAAATCTTAATAAGTTTTGAATAATGGTATATTAATATTCTCTACCAATTCGAACATAATTAATCCACTTTGAAGCCGTGAATGAAAAACACTATACGATTAATATGTTGGTTGTATTATACTGCGCAAAAATATCATCTCATTCCAAATCTAGAAGATGTTAGAAAAATGAAACTGTCATAGCTTAATCCAGAAGATGTTAGAAAAATAAAACTGTCATAGCTTAATCTAGAAGATGTTAGAAAAATAAAACTGTCATAGCTTAATCTAGAAGATGTTAGAAAAATAAAACTTTCATAACTTAATCTAGAAGATGTTAGAAAAATAAAACTTTCATAGCTTAATCTAGAAGATGTTAGAAAAATGAAACTGTCATAGCTTAATCTAGAAGATGTTAGAAAATAAAACTGCCATAGCTTAATCTAGAAGATGTTAGAAAAATAAAACTGTCGTAGCTTAATCTAGAAGATGTTAGAAAAATAAAACTGTCATAGCTTAATCTAGAAGATGTTAGAAAAATAAAACTGTCATAGCTTAATCTAAAAGATGTTAGAAAATAAAACTGTCATAGCTTAATATGACTTTTATTCAGCCAAAATTTATATTTGCCTTCCCTAGTCTTACAGTTTTCACCATTAAGCATGAAGATAGATGATGCATTGCATCGTCTCTATTGATTCCATTAACAGTCTTAAATACCTCAATCAGATTACTTCTAACTCGTCTTTGTTCAAGAGTAAACGACTTCAGAGGTTTTAATCTGTTCTCGTATGACAATCTTTCTATCTCGGATATCATCCTAGTAGATCTCCTCTGAACTCTCTACAACAATTAAATGTTCTTCCCAAGGTAAATATCGCCCAAGACTGAATACAATGCTCCTGAGGAACTTAACCAATGACTTATACAATGAAATTATAACTTTTATTCAACCTAAAATCCTATTTACCCTGTCTCTAGCAACAACACATTGCTTGGGTGTATTAACAGACTTATCAACCAGAACTCCTGGAGCCTTTTCTTCTCTGACACTGTTTAGATATCCCCATCAAAATTATTCTCATACTTCAAAGTGTGATAACTCACATACATAACCTTGCATTTATTATAACTAAAAGCCGTCTGCTATTTATTTACCAAACTCATCATATAATTTAAATCCTTTTGTAAAGCAGCAGCATCCTCTTCATAGTTAGCAACCCCTAAAACTTTTGTATCGTCAATAAATTTAAGTAATTTATCGATCATTTCTTCATCTATGTCAATGATGTAAATCAAAAAAGCAAAGTTCTAACACTGAGCCCTGAGGTACCTCACTCGTGAAATTAATTCAGTTTGACTAAACTATATTTATAACAATCCTCTGCTTTCTTCCATCCAGCCACTTTTCTACTCAATGGGCCAACTTATCCCTTACACATATAGAGATCATTTTAAAAAGCCTTTTATGTCACACCTTGTCAAATGATTTCTGAATATCTAGACACACCAAATCCACACTTGTACCATCAAAGCTTCTTTTATCAGACCTACATAATTTTCCCCCACTGATGTAAGACTAATAGGTTTATAATACCAGGACAATTTTTGTCATCTCCCCTGAAAAGAGGAGTAGCATTAGCCAACTTCCAATCCTCTGGCACCTGCCCACTATTCAAGAACTTATATAGCAGGTGGCTAGCATATTCAATCTTAAACTTCTTTCAAACTCTTGGGGAAATATTATTTGCTCAGCAGCCTAATTATTCTTTAAACTTCCCAAGCTTGTTCTAACTTGTTTTCATCAAGCCACTGTTCAGGGCGAAAAATATTGCTTAAATCTATGAAATTTAAGAAAAGGTAGAATTTAATAACCCATTTATTTCGTAATCATCAGACATAAACCTTTCTTTATCATTTCTCAAAGGCCCTTCTCCCATCCTAATATTTTGCTTACTCTAAATGTATTGAAGGAAATACCGACTATTACTTTTCACATTTTAGCTAACCCTTTTTCATATATCCTTTTCGATTTCATAATTTCCTGTTTGACCAATTCTCTTAATCTTCCATGATTCTTTACATCTCCCATCATTCCATTCAACTTAGACTTCTTAAATTGATAATTCTTTGATTTTATGCGATATATCCTTTGTGAGCTAACCTGTTTTTTTACTTGTAGTCACCTTTTTCCTATAAGAAACATGTCTATCTTGAATATTTAAAAATCTATTTATTTGTTCACATGTAATCAGTATCTTCAATGAATTCAGTTCCTTAATTTACAATAGATAACTTTTGTCGTGTTTTTCGAATTGTACTTTTTTGAAATTTATAACAAAAATCTCATTATTCTTGAGTTGTCTCCATATACAGTAAAACATCAAACCTAACTGAGCAATAAAGTAAAAAAAAGTGGGTTCCTCGTCATCAAATTCTAATTCAGCAATTATTACTTGCACCCAGATGTTCTTCAATCTCTACCCTTTCAACTATTTCTATATTAGAAGTTAACAATAAATCTGCCCCAAAGTGGCACAGCGGTATTTCTGCGGACTTACAACGCTAGCACTTTACAGTGATTGTCATACGTACTTCAGACTAGAAATGTTAGCACTTTACGGTGGTTGTCATACGTACTTCAGACTAGAAATGTTAGCACTTTACGGTGATTGTCATACGTACTTCAGACTAGAAATGTTAGCACTTTACGGTGGTTGTCATACGTACTTCAGACTAGAAATGTTAGCACTTTACAGTGATTGTCATACGTACTTCAGGCTAGAAATGTTAGCACTTTACGGTGGTTGTCATACGTACTTCAGGCTAGAAATGTTAGCACTTTACAGTGATTGTCATACGTACTTCAGACTAGAAATGTTAGCACTTTACGGTGATTGTCATACGTACTTCAAATACCTAACGTTGTGTTAGAAAATAATCATCACGTTTAACCAAATGTAATGTTAATTGTGACTAAAAATGTGTTCACCTGTTTTGAAAGGGATAAATATGTTTATGGTCAAATTTTACGTACGCTTGTACATATAACGATTTGATATCATAATAATTGATCATTTCTAACATAGATGTTGTTGTAATGTGCCATTTTATATTTAAATATTCCCGACTAATCGAGTATAAATTATTTCTTTCCAGACCTAATGAACCAAACCTCCCTAGCTTCCACGTTTCGAAGCCACAGAGTCTTCCTTCTTCTCCACAGACACGTCGCCGTGTGTTAAACTCGACCTCCCCACATCCTTCCCAAAAAGACGTGGATGACTTATCCAAGGATCCTTTAAGAAGCTCTCAAAATAGTGAGGAAGTGTCGTCTTCCAGTTTTGGCATAGATGCCACTAAGCTAGCAGGACGTCTAAAGCCACTTCAGATGAACGGCTATGGTCATCATGGAGGTCATTCAGATTGTGCTGAACATGGCGAGGCCGAAGGTGGAGGACGAGAAAAGAAATCAACCCCACTGAAAATAATGAAACTTGGAGAAAATGGGGAAGAACCTTTCATTACAGTAGCTAAATATGATAATGGTTTGCTAAATGGAATTGAATGTACAGGATATTCCACAGAGAGACGTATGAGTGCTCCTCAAGTTCCCAGAGATTCCAGGAGCCCTGTACCTGGTTCTGGTAGCAAAGTATCAATTTCCAGATCCGGAGGAAGGTCAAAAATTCCATACCTTCCTGATCAACCTATCGACGCCTTGGGTATAAATCAGAAATCTCAAAGCTCAGAAAATTTGTATCCTGGTAGATATAGCGACAAAGTCAGAACACCTCTAATAAATAACAGCACCCCTGTACATGTCAATATAAAAGGAAGAAGATCATCTGACTCTTCCAACTATCCTCCTGGTATCCGTAGAAGTCGCTCTCACAGTAGCGATTCCACAGAAGATGGTTTGTTTTTTAACAGAGGGACTCTCGGTAGGCATTCTTACCGGGCTCCTAGAACATCTAATATCGGACCCAAAGAAGAGTCTGGTTACAAAACTTGGACATTCCGTCAGCGTTCTCCCAGGCCTTCTCTTAGTTCAGATATTTTCAAACCACCATCTGCAAGATCTCAATCACCTGCAAGGTCCCCAGCTCCTAGGATGAGAAGCATCGATTCTAACAACACTAGGTACACCCCTCCTCAAAAGAAAACTTTCGTCAAAAAACCACTTTTGTCTCCAGATAAAGTGCAGAAACTCCTGAAGGATGTGGACTTTGATAAAGACCACGACTTTTTGGCTGAAATGGAAAAATTTATTGAAAGTTACAAAGCAAAAGTGGAAAAAAAGCTAAAGGAAGGACAGTTGGTGAATTTTTCTACTGATGATAGCCAGAAGCAACTACAATCTACTGAAATGTACGGAGTTCTACCTGATGAGAGACCCCCAAGTCGAGGAGCTAATCCTCTCCAGCCCTCCCCACCTAAGTCCAGGTCTCATAGCTTAGGTTCTTCAAAGATCCCAATGTCCGTTAGATACAACAAACGTGAATGGTAACTTTGGAGATTACGTTTCGGTGAGATGCTGAAACAAGATAGATATCAGGCTGTTATCTGACCAAGAGTTTTTGTCTTACTGATTTTCTATAAAAGCAACAAAAAATCTGAAATTTAGGATTATCGTTTATTTTTTTATATCTTACAGTGGTTAGTGTCTGAGATTTTTGTCGTACAGACACTCTAAGTTTTTTTTTCTCGGCACTACAAACTAAGGTCTACCATCTGGACGTAATATGAAATAATGAGTTATTGTTACTAAACATTTCAGATTGAATAGAAAAGCAAGATTCTTTGGAAAGGTTCAAAGTGAACATAGAACAGCGGACCTTACATTACAATAGCAAAGAATTGCTCAGTGACTCCGCTATAAATTTCATCTGG